CTCTCTCTGGTCTCTCTGGTCTCTCTCTGGTCTCTCTGGTCATATCAAATTAACATGTCCCAAAGCCAGAAGATTCGGTGCATTTGCCTGTCATGATGCTAACATTGGGCCTGGTCTCCTAAGTGTGAGGCCTGGGCACCGCTGTGATGGGAGACCTAGTGTTCCCACAGGTGCGACCTACAGTGGGGCGGCTGTAAACTCGCCGTTGTGTCCTTAGGCAAGACACTTCACCCACTTTTCCTTGTGTGAATGTTGTGCGTGTGTGAAAGGCAGGTGGTGGTAGGAGGGGCGTCTATGGCAGCCTCACTTGCAGCAGATTGCCCCAGGGCAGCTGTGGCCTGTAGCTCACCACCATCGCGTATGGAATGAATGATTAGTGTGACGTGTTGCATGAAATATGAAGCTTTAGTTCATATTGAAGGCAACAGTTTGAGGCGTCTCTCTCTGCCTCCTCCTTAAAACTTTCATGTGTGCTCCTATTTAAGTAATTATATTTCCCCAGGTCCTAGACCTGGTGGCGTTGGTGGTTTTAAATTTACCACTTTATAGTTCGCTCCACCGCTCGAGCTACATTATGGTATAATTTGCCGATAGTTGAAAAATGCAATTAATTACGATTAATAAATGTTTAAGCTTAATTAACTCAATTCAAAAAAAAAATGTTCAACATTTTACAACCTTTCTTTTGCTTGTTTAGAGTCCTTTGCTTTAAATGAGTATCTGTGAAGAATGGAAATGCATATGATTCAGATTTAGATATGGATCCTTTATCGTCCACAGTGGGACTATTTTCAGTCCCCATTTCATCCGGATTGTTACTGTAGCTACAAATGCTTTTCCTTCACTGAAGCAATTATTGCTCGCTAATGTTGCATGAACTATAGATGCATTTTCAAAGGCAACAAAAGCCACCACCATTGCCACAAGAGACGTGAGACCAGAGTCCCAGTGAAAGAGAAAGAGTGTGACACCCACCCATGCCTGTGTTTCCCGTTGCAAAGGCCTGCCACTCAAAAAACTGACTTCAGGCCTCTCTTAAAATAACACATAATGTATGTGTTTTTGCTCGATAATAATATATTGGGTACAGCCATATCCTAAATAGACATGTTCATTGCAAAAAATGTAAACTACAAACTTTTAGTTTGACAAAATCATTCTTTGAGTAACAAATTCCTATTTCATGTTCAAAATGAAAATAACTTTGTTTTAAACAGCACCAAAAAATGTATTCCTTCAAACCTAATTGATTTACAATGAAATGATTCCCTCTTGATGGCAACACATTGATAATTCATGCCGCCTAAATAAACTGTATACCTTTGGAGCTTAGAGAGCTTGACCATCTCACTTTAAGAAAAAAAGTACGTTCTTTTTCCTGAGTTAAGAATTTGCACATCTATTTTGCTGGTTATTAGTAACAAAGTCAGACTTGGTGAGCGACACAGGGTTTTTCTGCAGTTACACAAAGTACAACTGAACTTAGCTCGCTAATATTTAAGATTCCTTGGGAGGCGAGGTAGCAGTGCTTGCTAAAATATCACAAATTGAACTGAATTGACAAGAAGAAGTTGAGAGACGTTTTTTTTTATTACAAAATAAGGAGTAAGTAAAAATAATAAGTAATAACTTATTGTTACAGTACTGCTCCAAGTGTTTGGATAGCAGTGTTTTACAGAGTCACGATTTGGATTTTCTGCGTGTTGTACGCATAAATTTGTTGATTTTGTCCACAAGCACATACCTTTCAGTTCTGCCTGTCCATGCCAGGAAATTGTTGCTTCAGTGTGCTTTATTTTAATGCTTTCTTATTTTGCTCAGCACTCGAGTTGCATTTGTGTATGAATTGTGCTAGACAAATAAACTGCCTTAGCCATTCGTAATTCCTGGTTCTGGTTAGGACTTGAGGCTGCTCGCATTTTGAATGTACTGCTGCTGTTGTTACCAGTAGTCTAACCTATTGGAGACAAATGCATGGATAAGGAATCTCCAGGTCTGCTTTAGACACTATGTTTATGATCCAGGCAATGTTTAGATGGGAAAAAAGATTTGATGTGGCTAATAATTTTACTGATTCTTTCAGCCGCTGGAATCGAGACTGATTGTGCTAGAAAGTGACAAAGTGGAACTCTGAAGTCCGCCATGGTAGACCTAATGTCAAATGAAGAAGAGGCGTTGTGGACGGTGTCTTGGTGGATTGTGCAGTTGCCGTCTTTTCGCAAGCCAGAGTTTTCTGAACTCTGTCAATCTGCAGTCCTGGTTAGAGGCGGCGCGGAAGTACAGAGCCACGCACAATTAAGCGTCTATCTAGAACGCTGCCCAAATTACAACCCCGAGGAGGCTATTGGACAGATTCATAGTTTGTAATCTTTTTTAATTACCTATGTGTGAGCATCAAGCTGTGTTTGTGTGTGTTTTAATAAAGCTTTCTTTGTATGAACATATGTCCTGGAAAATGTTCATTTCCTCTATAAATAAATAATATTTAATAAATATATATATTATATAAATATTATTACATTAATTATGAGGTAGGGTGACCAATAGTGACAGATCTGCCAGCCATCACGAGAGATTATACTTATTTGAAAGTAGGTGATTTCATCCAATGGGGAGTAAAGCTTCATACAATGGGCAGTAAGCTACCAATGGGGAGTAATCCCCACGTGGGGCTGGCCACGTGGGAGTTTTCAGCCAATCACGAGTTTGAAAGTAGGCAAGGCAAGGCAAGGCAAGTTTATTTGTATAGCACAATTCATACACAAGGCAACTCAAAGTGCAGAACAAGATAGCAATAAGAACATAAATAATCACAGAAACATTAAAACGAAAGATAAAAATATAAAATCCCTCAGTTCAATCTGAAGAGACCAAAGACACGATAAATACATTAAAAGATGTATTTGTTTGGCGCATTGACCCCGGCAGTGACACCTTGCAGCTATGAGATCGATTGCAGCTGAGATGATCTCAGATCCCCCCGGTCAATCACTGGTGGGGGCTAGAGTATGTGTGTGAAGTGGAGGGGCGTAGGGGGGTGCGGAGCAGGAGCCGGAGGTGGAGCCTAGGCTGGCTGGCTGTGTGCTTGGCTGAGGCTCGAGGCTGGCAGGCACTCGGTCTTTCATGTCTGAACCTCCGCTTAGAGCTTCATTTCAATCTGAAGAGACCAAAGACACAATAAATAACATTAAAATGATTTATTTGTTTTGGCGCATTGACCCCGGCAGTGACACTTGCACTATGAGTATCGATTGCAGCAGAGATGATCTCAGATCCCCCAAAAAGAGGTAAGCACGCTATAGTTGTGCCGGGGATGCGCCAGGCAGCCTTATCATGAGAAGCCTTGCATAGAGGCAGCATTGCATTGATTGCTTGGAGGCAGCATTGCATTGCATGGAGGGCAGCATGCATAGATTGCATAGAGGCAGCATGGCATAGAGGCAGCATTGCATAAGGCAGCATTGCATAGAGGCAGCATTGCATAGAGCTGCATTGCATGGAGGCAGCATTGCATAGATTGCATAGAGGCAGCATGCATCGAGGCAGCATTGCATAGATTAGCATAGAGGCTTCATTGCATTGAGGCCAGCATTGCATGGAGGCAAATTGCATGGAGGCCGCATAGCTGAGGCTGCATTTGCGTGGAGGCAGCATTTGCCTGGAGGCAGCTGCCTGGAACAGATTGCTATGAATTGGATACAAGAATATGCGGGGGTGACAAATCCGCAGGCTCTTAATATTATTGCGTGTGAGAAGCGTTGCCCTTCCTGAGCGTGCGAGGGTTTCTCGCGCACGAGACGCTTCGTGAGGTGCATGTAAGACGTACGGCCGCAAGGGGGGGAAAAAAAAATCTGTGAACGAGACACTCACTGAATGAGGGCTATTGTGATCATGCGTGCGTGATGTAGCCGTGAAGTGAAGAGTAGATCGGTTTAATCGCAGAGCTGATGCGTTTCTGCGTGTTGAGAATGTGGAGCAGCAATGTCGAGAGCTTTCTCATACAAGTCTGCATATTTGATCATGCGTGGAGTCAGCGTATGATACAGGAATATGCGGGGGTAACGAGTCCGCCACACTCTGTATTGACAATGGCGTGATAGAATCGTGGGCCCCTTTGGGGCGTGCGGGAGCTGCCTCTCGCGCACGCAGGCCGCTTCGGAGGTGCGTGTATAAGGCTGAGCCGTAGGGGGGTTATGCTAGGAGAAAGCTTCTCTGCAACAGAGCGCTGCGGTGAGCATGAATGTATGATGTAAGACAAGGTGATCTATATGCATGTCCGGATTGAAAGGGTGCAACAGATGATGAGAATGCTTATGTGAGCGAAGAAGTAGATCGTGTAATCGCAGAAGCTGATGCGGGCTCTGCAGTGTTAGAATGTGAGCAGCAATGTAGAGAAGCTTTCTCATACAAGATCTGCTATATTTGAGCATCGTGTGTCAGCGTATGATAAAGAGAATATGCGGGGGTGACGAGTCCCGCCACGCTCTGTAATGACTATGCGTGTAGAACGTGGTCCCTTGGGGGGGGGCGTGGGGGGGGCTGGAGCTGCCTCTCCCGCGCACCGGGACAGAGGCCGCTCGTTTGGTGCGTGTATAGCGTGAGCCGTATGGGGTTATGCAGAGAAGCTCCCTGCACAGAGCGCTGCGGTGAGCATGAAATGTATGATGTAAGCCAAGGTGATCATATGCATGTCCGATTGAAGTGCGACAGATGTTGAGAATGCTTATGTGATAGAAGAGCCTTAGCCACCCGACCAGAGTATTTTATTGATAATTACCGGTCAATTGATGAGGGAGCGCTGAGCAGTCAGAATAGTGCCAGAGTTTAGTCGTGATAAGAGGATGAGGCAGGACCAAGCCGTGGACCATTGACCCATTTGATTGCTCGCAAGGGACCAATGCACAATCAATAAAGTATATATCTTTCTATTGTAAAAGTACTTGTGACTGTACAGTAACTATTTCTGCTCCAGTGAATGAGTGAAGTGACAGAATGATGAGTCAAACAGCAGATGGTAGAGTGTTTTCAGCGATGCCCCACGACATAAAACCTCTGGTACTTGAGCGTGGCGTCAGCGTTGGGAGGCCACAGCCGCCGTGTCCGGTGCGGCGGGTCACCTTGGCTCGGGCCGCTCGGTGATGCAGGTTACAGTGACCACACATCTGAGAAAGTCCCGTCTCAGATGGGGCTTTTTCAGATCTGGTTCACCGCAATCCTCCACGGGGCTGGAAAGACAAAATCCCCTTCTGTGTCCAGGAACTCTTTCATTACACTGCACGACGGACTCCAATAACACACTCTGATGATTAAGATTTGATTTGTCATTTCCTTCTTTGCAAAAACTGCTTTCCAGGGAAGTTTGTCTTTCTGCATTTGGCCAAAAACACGATTGTGCAATGTTTAAAATAGTAATAACAACGGCTTATTAACCGAGCGCGAGGTCTGTACCGAGAAATATCAGACCTTGTGACCCGTCCTGCTCCACCCAGAGGCTACTCCACCTCTGCTGCTGTGACCCGTCCTGCTCCACCCAGAGGCTACTCCACCTCTGCTGCTGTGACCCATCCTGCTCCACCCAGAGGCTACTCCACCTCTGCTGCTGTGACCCCTCCTGCTCCACCCAGAGGCTACTCCACCTCTGCTGCTGTGACCCGTCCTCCTCTGCCCAGAGGCTACTCCACCTCTGCTGCTGTGACCTGAAGGGCTGTTTCTGATTATTATTATTATGTTTTTTGAATTATCAATTATTTTCATTCTTGCTGCTACTGGACACCTGAATTTCTCCTACGGGGGATCAATAAAGTATCTATCTATCTAAAGTGGGGGAAGTGTCTTGCCGAAGGACACGACCACCCGGTGTTCCCAGAGGTCTCCCATCGGAGTACTAACCAGACCCTGCCTTACTTAGCTTCAGAGCTGTGACAGATTCTGGCTTTCACCTTCAGGTTACAGCCACAATTAAAGATCCTTAGTTGGTCCCACACACAGCGGGGAAATGTCAGTGTTGCATCACAAGTTAGGAAAGAGGATAAACGAACAATAACTCGTCACAAAAACAGAATAAAATCTCAAAAATAAAAAAGAAGCAAGTTTAAAATCTCCAACATTATTATGATGAAGAAGTAAGTATATTCTAGAACAAAAACATATAGCTGTATGTTTACATCTGTACAGCAAGAAGGTCCTGGGTTCAATTCCACCTCCAGACCTTTCTGTGTGAAGCTTCCTGATGTTCTCCCTGTGTCTGCGAAAGTTTCCTCCGGGTGCTACGGTTTCCCCAACCACTAAAAGCACGTACAATAGGTCTGAATGTATCGAGTGAGTGAAAGGAATGGTGTTTGGTCGGAGGCTTTCATGGTCCAGTGTGTTCAGATCTCGCTTTTGCCATCACCGTGTGGAGAGAAAGGAACAATATCTGAATTCTGAACATTGTAAAGGGATTTGGGTGCGTTATATAAATAAAAATTACTCACTTACTTACTGTGCGACTAAAAAAATAATCTCTTCATCTTAATGTTAATCTGAAATGTGCCGTTTTCCCTAAAATGTTTATTTATTTTAGCTTGGGAGCTTCATGACCTTGGTCTTTAAAAAATGGGCTTAATGAACACAGACTTTAACTTACTTCCAAAGGGACACATGTGGTTCTATATCAAATATTCTTCAAGTTATCGCACCGATCCACGACATGTGAGGTCAGGTCGGCAGTGTGTCTTAGTCCTCGCTGTTCGTTGTGCAGTCTGACAGCAGCAGGAAGGAATGATATGGGTGTAATGTGATAATTGTATGTTCTCTATTGTACACATGTGTATGATAATATTCAGAGATATAATTGCTCTTGGCTCAGGAGTATTTACAGATGTGTATATTGTACTTTAGCAGCAGAGAATATGAGCAGAATAAACAATAGAAATCAGCAGGTAAAGTGACTAGTGAATGGCAGAATATCAGATGGATGGATAGAATGGGGAGGTGTTGAATACAATACACTGATTGAGAATGGATTTATCATTTCCTTCTTTGAAAAACTGCTTTGAGGGAGGTCTGTGTTCTACATCCAGCCAAACACACTCTCTGTGCTGCGTCGCTAAAGTGCAAAAAAGTCTCCGTCCTGTGACTTAGTGCTCTGAGGTGGACGGGTTTGTAAAGGCACAGCGCCATCTGGTGGTTCCACAGGGATAATCATGATAACACACATTATCAACGTTCATAGAAATATATAATTCAGTTTTTTTTGACAGACTATGTTTACTTGATGTGAGGATAAGTCTGTATTCACAAAGCAACAGTGCCACCTTGTGTTCACTTTGAGCCAATGCGATTTAATGATTAATCATGACATTTCAAAATCATTAGAAGCGCTAAATACGGGTGAAATAATATTATATTGTCATTAGAGACCAGAGAGAGGGAGACTAGAGAGAGACTAGAGAGAGACTGAGACTAGAGAGAGACTAGAGAGAGACTGAGACTAGAGAGAGACTAGAGAGAGACTGAGACTAGAGAGAGACCAGAGAGAGACTGAGACTAAGAGAGAGACCAGAGAGAGACCAGAGAGAGGGAGACTAGAGAGAGACCAGAGAGAGGGAGACTAGAGAGAGACCAGAGAGAGGGAGACTAGAGAGAGACCAGAGAGAGAGACTAGGGAGAGAGAGATTAGAGAGAGACCAGAGAGAGACTGAGACTAGAGTGAGACTATAGAGAGACTAGAGAGAGACCAGAGAGAGACTAGAGAGAGACCAGAGAGAGACTAGAGAGAGACTGAGACTAGAGAGAGACCAGAGAGAGACTAGAGAGAGACCAGAGAGAGACTAGAGAGAGACCAGAGAGAGACCCGAGAGAGACCAGAGAGAGGGAGACTCGAGAGAGACTAGAGAGAGGGAGACTCGAGAGAGACCAGAGAGAGACTAGAGAGAGACCAGAGAGAGACTGAGACTATAGAGAGAGACTTGAGAGAGACCAGAGAGAGAGAGACTAGAGAGAGACTAGAGAGAGACCAGAGAGAGACTGAGACTAGAGAGCGAGACCAGAGAGACTGAGTCTAGAGAGAAAGACCAGAGAGAGACCAGAGAGAGAGACTAGAGAGAGACCGGAGAGAGACCAGGAAGAGTGACTAGAGAGAGACCAGAGAGAGACCAGAGAGAGACAAGAAAGAGACCAGAGAGAGACCAGAGAGAGACAAGAACGAGACCAGAGAGAGACCAGAGAGGGAGAGACCAGGGAGAGACCAGAGAGAGACCGGAGAGAGAGACCAGAGAGAGAGAGCACAGAAAAAACAGAGAGAGAGAGACCACAAAGAGACCAGAGAGGGAGAGACCAGAATAAAGGCTGTACAGTGGCTAGCGCTCTCGCTTCTCAGCAAGAAGGTTCTGGGTTCAAATCCTGGTCAGAACAGGGCCTTTCTGAGTGGAGTTTGCATGTTCTCCCCGTGTCTCTGTAGGTTTCTTCAGGGTACTCTGGTTTCCCCTTCCACTGAAAATATGTACAATAGTTTGTGGTGAAGGAACAATAGATACAATAGATAGTACAATATGCAGTAATATACAGACAATATACAGTAATATACCAGACAATATGCAGTAATATACAGACAATATGCAGTAATATACCAGACAATATGCAGTAATATACCAGACAATATGCAGTAATATACAGACAATATGCAGTAATATACAGACAATATGCAGTAATATACAGACTATATGCAGTAGTATACCAGACAATATGCGGTAATTTACAGACAATATGCAGTAATATAGGCAAGGTAAGGCAAGTTTATTTGTATAGCAGAATTCATACAAAAGGCAACTCAAAGTGCTGAACAAGACAAGAAAGCATTAAAATCATAAATAATCACAGAACATTAAAAAGAAAGATAAAAATATAATATCCCTCAGTTGTATGCACAGCTAAACAGAACTGTCTTTAACCTGGTTTTAAACATTGTCAGAGAGGAGGCCTGTCTCACATCTTCAGGAAGACTGTTCCAGATTTTAGCAGCATGAATCTGAAAAGCAGCGTCCCCATGTTTAGTTCTGACTCTGGGCACTAACAGGAGTCCAGTCCCTGTGCTCCTCAGAGTCCGGGCTGGTTCATATGGTACTAACATGTCACTAATATATTTTGGTGCGAGGCCATGGAGAGACTTGTAACAAGCAGAGCTGTTTTAAAGTCTATTCTCTGAGCCACAGGAAGCCAGTGCAGAGACCTGAGAACTGGACTAATGTGGTCGTACTCCCTGGTTCTAGTCAGGACTAATGTGGTCGTACTTCCTGGTTCTAGTCAGGACTAATGTGGTCGTACTTCCTGGTTCTAGTCAGGACTAATGTGGTCGTACTTCCTGGTTCTAGTCAGGACTAATGTGGTCGTACTTCCTGGTTCTAGTCAGGACTAATGTGGTCGTACTTCCTGGTTCTAGTCAGGACTCGAGCTGCAGCATTTTGAATGTACTGCAGCTGTTTTACAGCCTGTTTGGACAGACCTGTGAGCAGGCCATTGCAGTAGTCTAACCTACTGGAGACAAATGCATGGATAAGAATCTCCAGGTCTGCTTTAGACACTATGTTTTTGATCCTGGCAATGTTTTTTAGATGGTAAAAAGCTGCTGATGTTACTGATTTGATGTGGCTATTAAAATTTAAGTCTGAGTCCAGTATTACCCCTAGATTTCTGACCTTGTTTGAAGGTTTTAGGGAGAGAGACTGGAGGTGACAGATGACGCTCTCTCTTTGTTTCTGGGGACCAAAGACAATCATTTCAGTTTTGTCTGCGTTTAGTTGAAGGAAGTTGTTTTGCATCCACTCACTGATCTGTTGGATACAGTGAAGGAGTGAGTCCACTGGTCCATGTTCTCCTGCAGTCAGTGAGACATAGATCTGAGTGTCGTCTGCATAGTTTTGATAGGACACTTTGTTTCTGCGTATTAACTGACCTAACGGCAGCATGTAGAGATTGAACAGAAGAGGTCCCAGGATCGACCCCTGTGGTACTCCACAGGTCAGGGCCATATGATCAGAGACACAGTTTCCAATCTCCACAAAGTACTTCCTGTCCTCAGGGTAAGACCCAAACCAACTTAGGGCGGTGCCAGCGACGCCAACCCAGTCCTCTAATCTCTGTAAGAGGATCTCATGGTCGACAGTGTCAAAGGCAGCACTCAGATCAAACAAGATTAAGATTGAGACTTTGCCTGCATCAGTGTTCAGCCGGATATCGTCAGTGCTGTGGTGGGGTCTAAAGCCGGACTGAAACATATCAAATGAGTTGTTGATTATAAGAAATCTATTTAGCTGTTGGTAGACAACTTTTTCAAGGACTTTCCCCATAAATGGCAGATTTGAGATGGGACGATAGTTGTTAAGTACCGTAGCATCCAGGCTGCTCTTTTTTAGCAGGGGCCTGATGACTGCAGTTTTCAGGGCCTTTGGGAATATTCCAAAATGAAGGGACATGTTTACTATCTGTGTGAGTGAAGGTAACAGACTGCTCAGAACAGACTTCAGAAATCTAGTGGGTAGTACATCCAGGCTGCATGTGGAGGAGCTCAGACTGGAGATTATCTCTTGGACAGTTTGATCATCTACATGTGCAAAGTGAGTTAGCACAGAGAGCCTTTTTGGCTGTTGGATGGTTATCTGTGGATTGGAGACAATGGCGTTTTTGATGCCTTGAACCTTGTCATTGAAAAAATTTGCAAACATTACATTTACGTTTGGAAGTAAGCTCTAATGGCATCTGAACGGGGGGGTTTGTTAATCTATTAAATATTGAAAACAGAACACGCAGATTGTTGCTGCAGCCTTCAATCATTTCAGAAAAATACCTTTCTCTTGTACTACGTAGCACCCGGTTAAACTCGCACAACTTATCTTTGAAGATCTCGTAATCAACCTGGAGGTTGGACCTGCGCCACTTCCGCTCGGCCCTCCGGCACTCTCTCTTTTGTGCCCTGTCCGAGTCTGCTTTAGCCCACGGCGCCTTCTGCTTATTTTTCACTATTTTAACCTTGATGGTGTCCAGAACATTCAAAACACTAGAGGTGACAGAGTTAAACAGTTCATCTACAGTAGAAAACGATGCATTCTTAAAGTTTATCATTCCCATAAATAGATCACTCGTATTTTCATTTATGTGTCTTCTTCGAACAGTTGCAGAGTCCACTGGTGGTTTGTTAGTGAAACACATGTCAAAAAATACACAGAAATTATCTGAAAGCGCAACATCGACCATGTTTACATTTGAAATATTCACCCCCTTAGTAACTAACAGGTCTAGAGTGTACACTCTGCTGTGTGTGGGGCCACTCACATGCTGAGTGAGACCAAAAGATTCAAGAACAGAACTCAGCTCTTTTGCATTTCTGTCATCAACATTATCCACATGAATATTAAAATCCCCTGTAATAACTAAGCTATCAAAGTCTGTGCATACAACTGAAAGCAACTCGGTAAAATTATCAATAACACTGTGACATGACTGCGGTGGCTTGTATAAGACTATGAAGAGAATTGGAGGAGATTGTTTTTGTTGTATTATGGGTTAGGGGGGAGGTGGGCTAAATGAGATGGGGGGATGGAATAATTATGGGATTAGAGGAGGGACGGGTGGATTTTGTGGGTGAATTTGAGTTGGACGCCCTAGGTGGCTTTGGAGGTACGTATGGGGAGTAGTTTTGAATGTTAGATAGGACTCTTGATCTGGCTACAGTGGGTGTGAGAGGAATAGTCTTCATTGCCGATCTTATCATGCCTGCCGAGTGTTCCGGTAATTCCAGTAGTGAAGGCGGGGATAGAAAACAAAGGGAAAGGTCGTCCTCATTTTCCCTAGATGGAGTGGATGTAGCGGGGGGGACCCAAGCCGGGTCCATGGAAGGTGATGAGGGAGTCTTTGGTGGAGACAGAGGTGGTTGAGGAACCCCCAGTACAGGCCTGTCTGTAGCCTGGAGCAATGGGGGGGGGCTTCACGGGAGCTGTAGGTGGGGAAGGTGCTGCTGAAGATGATGGAGCAGCCACTGCTGCTGCTGAAGATGATGGAGCAGCCACTGCTGCTGCTGAAGATGATGGAGCAGCCACTGCTGCTGCTGTATCCACTGCTGCTGGTGGTGCTGTATATGCTGATGGCACTGATGAAGATGTGGCAGCTGCTGATGATGCTGGTGGTGGAGGCGGCATCATCAGCAGCTGCGGCATCATCAGCAGTAGCCACTCTTTCGGAGCCGTGGAGGTGTTGAGTTCTTTTGGCACCTTGGAGGTGTTGAGTTCTTCTTGAATCGTGGAGGTGTTGAGTTCTTTTGAGGCGGTGGGGGTGCAGAGACCTCGGGAGTCGGTGGAGATGGTTGTGATGTCTGTGCCCTTTGCTTCTTCTTTCTCCCTTTCGACGGCTGCAAGCGCTGCGCAGGCTGAGGTCTTAGGGCAGATGCAAAGTTATCCATCAACACTTTTACTCCGTAGTTGTTCAGATGTGGACCTTTTTCTTCAAAAAGCTCGTGTCTATTCCAGAACATATTAAAGTTTTCAATGAAGCCAAGTCCTCTGCGTGAACACTCATTGAGTAGGAATGTATTTAGCTGGTACAGACGGCTAAACTTCTCAATTTTTCCATCTATATTTGGAAGTGGTCCACTAATAAAAATTGGTATGTCCATTTTCTTGAGGTCATCCAGTAACAGCGTTAAATCCATTCGTAGCTTCTCGCTTGCCTTCTCATGGATATCTACTGCCCCCGTGTGGATCAATAATGTACGCACACCACTGTTCTCAGATAAAACTTTAGGCAGAAGAGTCCTTATCTCAGCAACTTTTGCAGAGTGAACTGAGATAGTGATCATGGACTCCATGTTCACATTTTTCACCGAACCATCTCCGATAAGGACACAGTTTGTCCATGGTGGAGGCGCTGCAGTTGTTAGCGGCTTTGTTGTTTCAGAAAGGGGTACAAAGCGGTTTGAAGTCTTGAAGTCTCTTGAAAAGCAGGAAGTAGTCGTTCTCTCCGATCTGGAAGGTCTTGGCTGGGTGGGACGATCCGGAGGTGGTCTCTCCAACAATAATGGCGCGCCCAAGTTTTTTCATGATGTAGACGAACTCCTCTCCAGCCCCTGCGGTCGCTGGTCAAAATAATCAAACTCTTTTTGGAGCCATATCTTGTGCCTGAAAAATTACAGAAATAGAGATAGAATGAGGAGAGTGCGTAGACAAGTAGATAGAGATATATTGATAGATTGGTAGTTAGAGATAGAATATACATTATTTACTATGTCAAAATATGTTTACAGGTGAAAGCAAGGTTGAGATAATGTATAATTTATTACCGGTGAGTTCAGGCAGCGTGACCAGCTCTGTGGTTTCTCCGGTGGTCCGATCGTACAGTTTGTCCAGTACAATCTGCTTGTCGCCATCAAAGAAATAAGAGCAAAACCCTGCAATGGCGGTGGTAGGGCCTCCAATGTTGTTCCTGCAAAGTCAGATGTTATGTCAGAAAGTTTGTACATTCTAAGGATAGAAGAAGACCTAAAACATAGATGTGGTCGCAGTTTAAATGATCCCTCACTGATTAACATAAATGCTAATTAGTGGACCCCAACCCTAATCCAAGCCCTAGCCCTAACGCTGACCATCCCTAACCCCCATGGGAAAGATTCAGTTAGTAATTGAAAAGGCCATGCATAATAAGGACTAATAGGTGCTTAATCAATATTTGGAGCTAATTAACCATAAATTATACGTCAATTAGCACTTAATTAGCTTTTATCTAGTGAGGGCTAAACTAAAGTGTGACCATAAATGTTCTGTAGTTTTAGCTGTAGTTTTAGTCTTTAGTCTCTAGTCATTTAATAATAATAATCCATTGGTTTTATACAGCGCTTTTTTGGACACGGTGGTGATAAACTACTACTGTAGCCACAGCTGCCCTGGGGCACACTGACAGAAACGAGGCAACCAGTCTGTGCCATCAGCCCCTCCCACAACCACCAACCATTCACACACACATCAGATTCATTCTAGGCAATGGGGGTGAAGTGTCTTGCCTAAGGACAAAAGGGCAGTTTGGCACTTTACAGCCGCAGCCGCCCCACTGTGGCACCTGCTGTTCCCAGAGGTTAAGTGTCTTGCCAAGGACAAAACGTTGTGTGAAGAAAGTTGTGTGGCTTGAACCTACGACCTTTAGGCTCAAACGCCAACGCTCTACCAACTGAACAACTTCTCGCCCCCTTTGTCTTCAGTCTCTAGTCTCTAGTCTTTAGCGATCTTCATTCTGAAATAGAAGCCGCACCACAGTTGAAAGATGGGATTACCAACCTGAGATCCACAATCATGGCGTCAGTGTTGACGACGTTGTTCCAAACGTGTTCAACAATAATCTGGGCAATGGCCTTCACCTCTTCAAAGTCACGGAACATGTCAAATCGCAGATAACCAATGTTGTTTTCAAAGACATTGGTTTGGAAGGACACTTTAATCAGATCGATGTACATCTCAGGTGAATAATTCTAGTGGGAAAACACAAGGAAGAAAGGTTTTTGACAGAATACCATCAACAATATGTAAAAAATGTATTAAAATTAGAGAGAAAATTACCATTGGTGGCAGTGCTGGAGTGTTACTGGTTGTTTTTAGACTCTTGCCACCAGAGAGATATTCCAAAACAGCAGTTAATTTAGTTTCCAAGTCAGTCTTAGATACAACCATGTTAAAGGCCCCAGTCGCCTGTAGCCCCTTCAGTTTAGCTGCCACGGCCGTTCCAACATCTTCAAAGGCATAGTTGCTTGCAATTAGGGCTGCTGCACCTTCAATAACAGCTGGGACCTGGGCTCGAAGTTGAACAATCTTAATGGCCGTAGCCAGGGCATCCTCAGCATTAACTTCTACATCGGGACTAACACCAACAACCTCCCAAGTGGAGCCAGTGATGGGGTTGATGGATTTAGCGGTTGGCACGGTGACATAAAAGTCTGTGTCTCCAACTTTGATCTTGTCAATCTTCACTGATCCCCCGGCCGTCTTCTCGCCCACTATGGTGGCTCTCTTCAGGTTCTTGAGACAATAAGCAACGTCTTCTGCGATGCCGTTTGTGTTTTTGCTTGTGAGGATAATGAGGGGTTTGCTCGTCCCGTATCTCTCCCCCAGCAGCGTGGACAGGGACATGAGCTTGGTGGTGGTGTTTGACTTACGGTCATAGATGTTGTCGATGTGAACTGCGGGTTCAGCTTGTGTAAAATATGACACGATGTAAGGAAGTCCAGAGACGTCTCCACTGCCAGTGTAGCGCAAATCAAATATCAGAGCTGAGGTAGGCAGTATTTTACTCCAGACTAACTCAAGGAGTAACGCGCCGATTTTATCAGCCACCTCTTCGCCAAGAATGTGGTCAATCCTCAGGTAGCCAATGTTACCTTCCAGGATGTCGAGCTTGATTGAAGTCTGCAGCACTGCCACCAGCTGCTCTGGTGGTAGTGGAGGCATCTGTTGTGGAACTGCAGGAACATAGTTTGGCTCGTAGGTGACCTCCAGGCGTGGGTCGCTGACAGTACCTCGGACTCCTGCGCTAAGGACTCGAGCTAAGGATTCTGCATCTGGAATGTTCAGGATTGCTGTGTTGTCGCCTTCATTCCCACTAACTTCTCCGGAGAGCAGTAATTGTCCATGACAATTTTTGCCAAATCAACCATGAGGCTGGAAGAAAATGTGGTTTGAGCAAAGACGACATTTCCCAAAGCTACCAAAGAAGCTATACAAAAAATAACTTTGGACATTTTGAGAACTTTTCAAAGACAGAAGAGGCGATGGAAGCAGAACCTCCTTCTGCAGAGGTCTCCTGTGAAGTGAAACTGTTTTGGCTGCTTGGTTTCTGTTAACAAACTCGTAAGAGGATTTTCTCCATCATAAACCTGTAATCGCATTATCCCGAGTCCTTCTGGGGAAGCAACCAGAGCCAAGTAGGTGTAGTAACAAAGGGTTGTGGACTGAAATAACCCCACCTTTTTTTTAACTCAAGTATTTTTGATCAGGTAAGAACTTGGATCCATGAAAGAGTCCCATGTTAAGAATTGTTGCTGTTTGTCTGTATCATATACAGACGTTGTATTGGTATTGTACAACACAGTATTATAATGCTTAAGTAATAGATTTTAGACTTGCTTTTTTATTATGCTATAGTTAGAGATTTTATTTCATTTAAGTATATTAGATATTGTTCACTTATCTCAGACAAAGTCATAATTGTTTTTAGGGCATTAACGGGTTCCAACTCTGCCTGTTGATCACAGAATGTAAAGAATCAAAATGGCACATTCAGCATTTACATTAGTATTCTGTAAGAGGTATAAATACAGCATATTTAAGAGTTTATATTACAGCATACATAGTATATATATATGTGTGTGTGTGTGTTTATATATATATATATATGTATATGTATATATTGTATATAGTGCGAGGAACAGCAAAGATACTGCGCAGAACCCTCAAGCTCCCAGGCCTCTGGTAGAGGACCCGAGCTTACAGAGGGATAACCACCCGCGGAGGGCCAAAGGTGAGAATTGTTTTTATTTTATATATATATATATATATATACATATATATATACATATATAGTGGTAGTGGTAACAACCTGGAGCTGAACGCCCAGAAGACAGTGGAGATGATTGTGGACTTCAGGAAGAGCACTGTCCCCCCGCCCCCCACCTTCCGTGATGGACTCCCCCATCACCTCTGTGGAGTCCTTCCGTTTCCTGGGCACCACCATCACCCAGGACCTCAAGTGGGAGCCGACCATCAGCTCCCTCATCAAGAAGGCCCAGCAGAGGATGTACTTCCTGCGGCAGCTCAGGAAAGCCAAGCTGCCTGCACATATTGGTGCAGTTCTACACGGCCATCATCGAGTCCATCCTCACCTCCTCCGTCACCGTGTGGTTCGCCGGACAGAGACTCCAGCGCATTGTGCGCTCTGCAGAGGAAGTGATCGGCCGCAGCCTTCCATCGCTGCAGGACTTATACGTCGCCCGAGCTCGAAGCCGGGCTGGTCGTATCACAGCCGACCCCTCTCACCCTGCACATGGACTATTCCAACCACTACCCTCAGGCAGGAGACTGCGGTCCATCAGGACTAAAACCTCCCGCCACAAGAACAGTTTCTTCCCCTCTGCTGTTGGACTCTTGAACACTTCTTAAAGCTGCACTAACTGACTTTATTTTCGTATTAATTACGAAAATGCTATCCATGTCCATGTAGTGCATTGGGATATACGTCCTTTTGAAGAAAAAGTAGCGCAGATTTGTGCTGGCCTGACATTATATTTTCGATCGAGTTTTGATGAAACAAGGAAGAGAATGTGTTTCGGGTCGCAGATTGTGACCAATCACAGCGGACCACTAGCCCCCACTTTCGTGAGAAATCTCCAGGTCCGTTAGCACAGACGGCTGAGTTAGCACAACAAGCGGCGGAGCTAACCTGAAACTTTCTCGTCTTCGTCATCGGTTACTGCTTACACAGCGAAACAGCCATCCAAAAGAAAGTCTCATTCCTCCGCGCTTCCCGGTTCTATCGTTCTATGGTCACGCCATCCACGTGAAAATCCATATCCATGTATTATCCATATTGGGAGAGGCTAGCTCCGTCTCAACACTGTGTGTGTGTGGGGGGCGATAGCTTCGTGGGTGCGGGGAGGGGAGCAGAAAGAGAGAGGCCAGCGAGTCCGCGGCTTCAAAATCCCAAAGTCAGTTAGTGCAGCTTTAACCTGTCCCCCTGCCCTTTATAAAGTCACTTTACTGCCCATCATACGTCACTTTACTTCACTGTACTGCTGTCACCTTACATTGTGTGCACCATGTGCACTTGTATATTGTAAATAGTAACTGTAACTCTATTTCAAATTTAAATGTATTCTTTAGAAGTGTTTTTTTTTATTCTTATTTGTATTATCTCTCTCTGACTGTTGCACTGAGCCAAAGGAATTTCCAAGTCTGTGACTTCCTGTTACTTACGTGGCAATAAAAATGATTCTGATTCTGATATATGTATATATGTATATATATATATATATATATATATATATATATAATTTTTTTTAAAGGTGAGTTGTCCACTCACCTTTGGCCCTCCGCGGGCGGTTATCCCTCTCTAAGCTCGGGTTGTTCCAGGGATCCGCTGTAACCACTCTTCTAGCTTCAGGGTCACTGCCCCGAGTGCACCGATCACCACGGGCACTACTGTCTCCTTTACCCTCCAGGCCCTCTCCAGCTTCTCTCTGAGACCTTGGTATTTCTCAAGCTTTTCATGTTCCTTTTTCCGGATGTTACCATTGTTTGGAATTGCCACGTCCACCACCACGGCTGTCCTCTGCCCTTTGTCTACCACCACGATGTCAGTCGTATATACTATATATATATATATATATATATATATATATATATATATATATATATATATATATATATATATATATATATATATACAGCAAAAATAATAGAGTAAAAAATGCAGCATATATGATAAAGTACATTTCATTTGACTTGAGACAAAGTTGCATCTGTATTTTGTCCAACTGTAAGATTACAGCATGTTGCTCATTAAAGTCTTACACTTGTATTTATTACATTTCTCAAGACGTTGTCAGTGAGGGAAGTTAGACTCATTAAAGTTCCTTAAAGCCAAGCTAAACACATGGCAAACACAACACATGTGATTCAAAAATGTATTGTATGTATTATATATTGTATGTATGTATTGTATATTGTATGTATGTATTGTATATTGTATGTATTGTATATTGTATGTATATATTGTATATTGTATGTATGCATGATGTGGAAAAGACAGAACTCCACTTGTTCTAAGAGCACTGTCTCCCTCTAGTGGTAAAATGAAGGTATTGCCACTAAAGCGGACATACATTTTAGGGGTGTTATATCAATTCAGGTGCTGAACTGTGCGTGTAAAGTTATATATTTTAGTGCTTTAGTAATAGATATACATACTTGATAATTATACGCCATAAAGTAATAAATTAATGTATAATTTTTAAATTGATCTCAGAATTTATTTTAACTCCCCAAATATCACATATCTAAAAAGAAGACAAAAAAATGTGAATTCAAAGGCAAACAAATCACATCAATTATTGAACTATGATCCAATCTCTCAAATGACTCTAAATGCTCTTAAATCACAATCCGTTTAATCGTGGTCAGAGGGAGGCGAACCTGGCCAGGCTGCGGTCCACGGTTTACGTTCTAAAGCCCATGCAAAGCTCTGTGTGTGCGAGCGGGTCTTTGGGGAAGGACAATATTCACATTTCTAACTTCATCTTTCTCCCACTGGGTTTATAGAGTTGCCCCTTATGACGCAGGAGGGTCTAAGGCAGGGATGTCAAACTCATTATAGTCAGGCGCCGAGCTTAAAAACATAAGAGCAGGGTGGGGCCAAAAGTGGTTTGATCACCTTTTTTGTGTGACTTACTTAAAGTAGCAATATGTAAGATTTTCATGTCAAGTCATCATTAAAGGGCCCTAATCTGTCAAAAGACGTTAATAAAACAAGGCAAGGCAAGGCAAGTTTATTTATATAGAACAATTCATACACCAAGGCAATTCAAAGTGCTGAACAAAACAAGAAAGCATTAAAAATACCCAAATGAGACACGAGTACTGGTGAAATGCCGGACGGCTCTTTATGAAAAAACACTCTTGCCACCCGGCCTCCTCTACCTTAGGGAGGCCGGCGGTGGGCGCGTTGACTTCCGCGAGCCTCTCGTGGGTTTGTCCGGGCACCTGGGGTCTCGTCCGCGTCAGGGGAGACGGTGGGTGGCAGAGCGAGGATAGTGTTTGAGCGCCCTCTGGGGCTGAGCGCATCTCCGCTTCCCTGATGTTAGCTATCCCAAGCCAATGGGACCTGGCCCCGACTTGGGCTGCAGCCATGGTGCGGCCACCATCAGGCTCAAAGGCCTGGCTCATGCGCAGGGAGCCGCGGTGGTGGTCCTCGCTCTGTCGACGACCTGGAGCCGCGTTTAGCTTAACATCTGTCCAGCATAGCCAAAGAATCCTGTCCCGCTCGGAGGGAAGGAGATAAGACCATAGACTGTAAATATAAGACCATAGACTGTAAATATAAGACCATAAACTGTAAATATAAGACCATAGACTGTAAATATAACACCATAGACTGTAAATATAAGACCATAGACTGTAAATATAAGACCAAAGACTGTAAATATAAGACCAGGCTGAATCCCTGTTACCATTGATTTGATTAACGTGAAAACATAACCAGAGATGTGAGAACTGCTCTTTTGAGGTTGTTAAAAGACATTATTTCTGGGAGAGGCCCTTTGAGCCCTCTTTACCTCGCGGTCTCACTGGTGTCTGTAATATGTTTACGTGTGTGAGTTCTGCTGTCGAGAATTAAATTGCGTTTGGACGGCACTTTTCACACTCACAGGCCCTAACCAATAGTTAATGATTATTTC